TATATATATATATATATATATATATATGTATGTATGTATGTATAATTATATATTTTTTTAAATCATATAATATAATTATTAAAAAATGTTATTATTAATTTAGGTTTTTTTTTAATTATCCCAATGAAATCTTATACAATTCTATAATTTATACTTTATAACTTTTCCCCTTAATTTGTATAGCATTAATTAATCTTTATTTTATTACTAGATTATTACTATGATTTTAAAATTCTTATTTGATATTTTATCACTTTTAAATAAAAAATTTTCTTATTATCATATTTAAAATTTATCAATCTTATATAAATGATAAGGTAAACTTAAATAATCTAATCCTAGTTATTATATCTACAATTATAACTATTATCATTATTTGCTTATATTAAAACCTCATAATAAATTTATCACCTTAAATTTCATGCCTTATACTATTCTAATTAAAAATTATAGCTAAAATCAACTTTTAAATAAATGCTAACATTGTTGTAAGCAGTTCACCTTGACCTCATCTCCCTTTCTCGACCACAGATTCGATTTAGGGAACTTGAGGTCGGTTTACCCGTCATCTGCTTGATTTTTTAAGTTCTTATTTGATATTTATAGCTTTTTTTATGCCATTTATGATTTAGTAGATTAGTTAAGACAAAAGTGCATTGAAATGACTTCAACTGTTAATTTTCCTAATTTTTTTTGTGTGTTTAATGTTTATCATACTATCAGTATTTTGCCTTTGCTTGTTAAGTAACGAGATTATACTTAGATATGAATCTGATTTATGTTTCTTCATTTTCTTTTCCCCCTTTTTAAATAATTATCATCCTCCATGGATGATGGAACTGCACATGATATTTTCGCAATCACCGTTAAATTTTTGCAAACACTGTCCAGATTGGATTGAGAAAAACTGAACTCATCTCTTTTAATTTCAGTGCGGTGTATTCCAAATCCTTCATGATGATTCTTCGTCTGGCCGCATCAAGAGCTTTGCTAATGCTATGTGGAATGCTTTTATGTACATGGTAGAACATTCATACGTGTCTTCAACTGGGACTTTGCTGTTGATATTGCTATCGTTTTCATTTATTCCTACAAAGATGTCATGGAAACGGCGCGCTGTTATTGGAGTTCTGCATATATCGGCTCATATAGCTGCAGCCATTATTCTAATGATGCTGCTGGAAATGGGAATTGATATATGCATCCGTAATCACTTGCTAGCTACTTCAGGTACTTTTACATGAAAATTTGTCACACATCTAGCTTTAACTTGTATCTTTCTTTGTTCTTGCGATGCATTTTCAAACTTTTATATAAATATAGGAAGGGACTCTCTTGCTTATGGTGGGCTGTAGAGAGGTAGTGCAAGCCTTGGTATGGATTAGATTGGGTTAGGTTTTATGGAGGATAAAGTGGAGGTCTAGAGCTGATATATATGGTGAGGGGAATTATTTGTATGGTTTTGAAGGTTAAAGGGCTCAAGAAGCAGCCATGGAGTTGGTGGGCTGAGAGGTGGCAGTAGCTTGTTAGAATTTAGGGTTATGTAGGAGGGGGGAGGCTTGTGTAGGTGATGGAACTTGTTTATAGTTTACTGGGGAAGGTAAACACTCAAGAATATTTTAGGATGTGGTATGGGGATGAGGTTTTTGACTATGAAAGGTGCACGAGAGTTGTTTTAGGGCTGTAGAGGAGATGTAAATGGTCTTCTTGGCTAGGTTAGGAGTTCGGAATTATTTGATGGAGAAAGGAAAGGGATAAAACAGAAAAAAAGGGATAACTTGGAACTCATCTAAGTTTTCTTGGAGGATCGGCTGCTAAGCTTCATCATAACTTGCAAACAAGAAAAAAAATGCATTAATAATTCATTCTATTCATCAAGAGATTATTTGATGTTCTTATTCAAAAGAAGGATAATAAATCATATGAAAAAATTCATTAGGTTGCCGATTAGTGTGACTAGGGAGATGGAGCAATCAAGGGCTTGGCCATGGATTATTGAAAGGTGTAGTCTTTTGTTGAAGTTCATGTTGAAATTTGTGGAATTACGCTCATTATTATTTACTTTAATTCTATTTATTACTTGCTATATTTAAGTCATAATATAAAAAGGGTAATTCCTTAATTATTGGTATTTATGTTTTTTCCATAATTATAGGAATTACTTTATTGTAGGAAAATTTCTTTCCTCTTTTTATTTCTCTTGTACTCACCTATTTATAGGTGAATTATCTATGTATTCAAGCGAGAAAAAGCATTATTCAAAACTCACATGGTATCAGAGCCATCGAAGAGTCATTGATGGAAAGCTTCTCCCGCTCGGCTTGATCACGGCCTTCTCTCCCGCGATCGATTTTTTCCCGAGCGCTCTTCCTGCGCCTGCTCTCTCCGCTGCTCTCGTCTGCTCTCTCCGGCGATCATTTTTCCCGATCGTCCAAGCGCTTGTTCGGATCTGCGTCCACGTCTGAGGACGATCCGAGCGCCTGTTCTGCGTCCGCGTCCGAGCGCCTGTTCCGCGCCCGCGTCCGAGCTCCTGTTCCGCGTCCGCGTCCGAGGACGATCCGAGCGTCTCTCTCGACTGCATCCGAGCGCACGCACCTCTCCCGCGATTGTCTGCAACTGAGTACCGACGCTTCTTCCGTTATCGAGCACAGCCAGTTTCAGCCGTGCTCCTCGTAGGCAAACTCTCCTCTCCAATGACTAAGTACGACCATGCTTGCAACTCCTCCTCCACTAGTGATGTCACTTCTAGCCACCCCTCCGCGGCTGGGTCTCCATTACCCATCAATTCAGACAATAATTATGTTCTCATCACCAACCACAAACTCACCGACCAGAATTACCTCCAATGGTCGCAGTCAGTCATGATGTTTGTATGCGGCAAAGGCAAAGATGATTACCTCACTGGTGACTGGTGATGCTCCAGCTCCGATGACGACAGATCCGTCATACAAGACTTGGAAATCTGAGAATAATATGGTTATGGCCTGGCTTGTTAACTCGATGGCACTCTCGATACTCGATGACACTTGATATTGGCGAAAATTTTCTTCTCTATGGCAGGGCTAAGGAAATCTGGGATGCTGCCCGTGAGATATATTCCAGTGCGGACAATACAAGCGAATTATTTGCTGTTGAGACAATTCTTCATGATTTTCGTCAAGGTGATCTCTCCGTCACCCAATACTTCAATACTCTCACTCGGTATTGGCAGCAAATAGATCTATTCGAGGTGTACCCTTGGAAGTGTCTCGAAGACTCTGTCATATTTCGTCGAATCATAGAATTGAAACGCACCTTCAAATTTCTTCTCGGCCTCAAATCTGAGTTTGACCAGACTCGCTCACGGATTTTGATATCAAAACCTCTTCCAACAATTCGTGAAATTTTCTCCGACATACGCCGCGAAGAGAGTCGTCTAAAGGTCATGTTAGGTGCTTCCTTGTCCACTACATCCCTTGATGGGTTTGCACTTGCTGCTCATATTCCATCCACAGACAACCGCCAACGCCAGAGCCGCACTTGGTGTGACCACT